TGGGCATGTCTTCTGCATTGGGGGATACGCTTCCTCGAGTCGGGACGTCCCAGGATGCCGTGTGGACAGTTGAGACCTACATGGCCGGCGTTCGTCCCCAGGAGGACGGTAGTGGCGACTCGTGGGTCGTCTCGACAGCTCTGCCGTCCAGCAGACGCGAACGGAAGAGGGGACACGCAAGTGCGACGCGACTGGTCAGGTGGGATTCTTGCGACGCACTGGAGTCCGCAGACTCGACTGCGCGTCGAATTGGATGCGAAGAGCGGGCGTTGGTCCGTTGGTTGGCTGGTCGGGTGGTTGCCGTTCGCGTTGAGCATCGGACAGAGTGCGGACGGCAGACAATCGCCGGCAGAGGCAGATTGGGTTCCTGTTCCTGCGGACTCGAGAAGCGCTCGAGATGGCAAGTGGGAATGGCGCGGAATGGAGATTAGCGGATCGCGCACATCCGTGGTTTGGAGGCGCCGACGTCCATGAAGGGAATAGAGGGGTGTCTGCGGTCTAGGTACCTTACCCGAAGGCCTGTCTTGCGCTCGCAGGTGGCTATCGCCAGGAGGTTTTGAGGACGTACCGCCCAAGGCGATTGAAGTGAACTGTCGCCCACCGCCAGTCCATCACGGGTGCGTGAGCGCTTGCCCTGTTGCCCTGTGTTCAACGGTTGAATAGTGCGTTGGATGGGAAGGGGGGGGAGAGCTTGACTTTGCCGCGCTACCCTTAGCCTGCTCAATCATGGAAGTCTGGTGGGGCTCCCGGCGGACCCTGCTAGACACCTGGTCTCGAAGACAGGACCCAACGCCAGGCGCGTGGAAGGGCAGAGGCCTGCGATGAACCGCTCCGAAGCCCGCGTCAGCTTGCTGACCTGCCAGGCATCAGTCCACCGCGCACCGCGCAGAAGGCCGGAAATAACTGCGAGCCCCCCGGCATTCAACTCGCCCTCGGCGTGCCTTTTCCGATAGCCTGAGACGAGGCCGCCTCATTGCCCCCAGCAATCTGCGCGGGCGGGCGCGACCTAGCGCACCGGCCATCCCAGCCGACGTGCGTTACCGCTCGCACATGTGGGTCAATTTACACAATTCAAGCCATTGCCTCAATCGAGGCAAATTGATGAACTCACTTGTAGACCGTGGCACAAGCAGAACTAAATCGCCTCACCATAACAGCGTTTGGCGTGATTGTTCACCATTGCTACCGAGATTCCTTCCTCTCCGCATGCATCAGTTTGCAACTTTTTCATTACAATGCACATTGCATGCATTCATTACACGCAAATTGTCTATGCACGTGGCCCCCTCCCCAACTCGTTCTAAACCAAGCGTTGTCTGGAAGACGGTCATGTTGTTCTCTGGTACGAGTGAGGCACTGATATGCAGTTTTGTGTTCCCATTTGGGCACTTTGTCATCCTGGACACACGCATATATACTTGTTGCTGAAAACAGCATTGGAAATATCACCAATGCAAGAGCCGATACATCCCCCCTCGCCCACTTTAGGCACAATTTTCCTGCCTGTATACCAATTTATTTGCAGCTTTCTTTTACAAGTGCTCTGCTTCAATTTTGCATGAAATATTTTGAAACAGTGGACAAAGCAACACTAGGCTCTCCCCGCTGGTTGATAATTTCTGATCAATTGAAGACTCGTTGGTGAGACACAAATCGCCCCAATGAAAAATCAGGGGGCATATCGAATAACATTGATCCCCTTGAGCTGGATGGCATGTTACATGTTTCTGCACTTAGAAACTGCACAAAATGGGTTAAATGCAATTTGATGATAACGAATTTGTGAATCTGCGCATTCTGATGAACAACACCTCAACGGTTGGCTTGTGGCGATATCTTAGTTTCCTATGGAACATGTCACAGACACTGCTTCACTCAGGTGAAATGGGGAACTAATGGATACCCCCTCGCCTCGACATGTAAGATTTCTTGATGACCACAGGTCAACAAACGCTGCCATCATGAAGAAATACAAAGCAATGAAAAAGAGGGCAGAGATGGTGTTTTCTGTGATACTGATGCGGATCGCCTGCTGTTGGACGCCTTCACGCTATGGGTCAGGTGTGTTTCAACGATTTGCAATAAAAGTTGCTTCACCACATCTGCACGACGACGTCGCATCCTAAAGATGCAATTCTAGGCAATCTAGTTGTCAACCCAACGCAAAACGAATGAAAGGAGATGTAGAGCACGGCACTGATGTCCAAGTTTGGGATCAAAATTTATAACTCGCTTTCGATTCTCTTCTTGACGCACATTGCATTCATACCCCAGGCGACTCGTCTTCAGAAGATGAGCACGTGACGATGGACAACGATGCCAGAGGAGTGGCATCGCAGAGCCTGGAGGTAAAGCTTAACGTTCATGAAAGCTTGGTCGACCGACCGTTGGTGACAATTGCACAACTCTCTTAAACTCTACACAATTGTCATAACATTACTCAAATTGAGGAGCTCGCTGCCTTGAACTGGACATATGGGGACTCTCTCGCCATGCATTGTGTCTGTGGTGATCGTACATACATGCGCCCCCTTCCCTTGGGCGCCCCAAGTGGCATGAGACAGAATTCAGCGTTCTTGACTGGACGCCACTGGTTTGCTTTTTGCATCAGGCTTCCCGTGATGATGCCGCCATGTCGACATGCTGCGTTGCACATCACGCATCAGGAAGCCCAGGCCCATCTCCGTGCCTTGTCTCCACAACCGCCTCAGAAGATGCCAAGGTGAGCATCACAGCATTTGCCTACAAACCACAGATGGACAATGCCAGATGTTGCGCAGATGTTGGGCATCATGTTGAGCCCAAGGGTCCATATTCATGAAAGTTTTGGTGGATCCAACATTGGCGACAGATTGTGCAGCTCTCTTTCTTTCTTTCTCTCTCTCTTTCTCTCTCTCTCTCTATATATATATACATGAACTTTGCGCAATTCTCACAAATTACTCAAATTGAAGATCTCGCGCTCACGTCATCCATGTATCTGGGTTGCCTTGCCATGCATTGTGTTTGTGGTGGTTGTGCACACATGGCCCTCCTTCCCCTGGGCGCCCCATGTGGCATGGGACAAAATTCAACGTTGCTGATTGAACGCTGCTGATTTGCTTTCTACATTAGGCTTCTTGTGATGATGCCACCATGTCGACATGCTGCGCCGCACATCATGCATCAGGAAGCCCAGGCCCATCTGTGCCCCTTGTCTCCACAACCGCCTCAGAAGATGGCAAGGTGAACTTCACAGTATTTGCCTATAGAACACAGATGGACGATGCCAGATGTTGGGCATTGCTGAGCCCAAAGCTTAATATTCATGAAAGCTTTGGTGGATTCATTGGTGACAAATTGTGTAGCTCTCTTCACCTTTCTCTCTTTCTATATCTTGGTACATATCAACTTTGCGCAACTCTCAAAAACTATTCAAATTGAAGAGCTTACGCTCACATAATGGACGTATCTGGGTTGCCTCGCCATGCATTGTGTCGGTGATGTCGTGTGTACAAGCACATCCTTCCCTTGGGTGCCCCAGGTGGCAGGAGATAGAATTCACTGAATCAGCATCGCTGACCAGACGCCTCTTGTGCGTTTACCACAACAGGCTTCGTGTGATGGTGCCGCCATGTCAACATGTTGCGTTGCACATCACACCTCTGGAAGCCTTGGCCCATCGAAGTGCATTGATTCAACGACCCCAGAACGTGCCGAGGTAAGTTCACAACATCTACTTGTAAGACACAACCAAAACTTTCTGCACCTCTGAATTCATAGTCAACACATGTGCCTAACAACCATGCGAACATCAAGCTATATAGTCGACATGTACAAGTTTCAACATCATCTAAACTTGCTTGACATCCAGATGCGGTCTCTTTGATTGGTGAAGTTGAGCAGGTGCTTTGCCACCGCGTGCGGGTTCTCTTGCAAATGTGCAATTACCTCCCCTGTATTTCTTGGACCTCCCACGTCCAGAGCACTTCACGCACATGCCACATGGCATCTAACCGCCGTGGTGAACACGCAATGGTATCTACTCTAATGAAAAATCTTCTTGGACTGTTGATGCAGAAACTGGAAGAAGCAGGCGTAATCGACCGGACATGTGCAGCCCTCGTTAATGCGCTCACCAATACTATCCAGTATTGGTTGCAACAAGATCACAAGGCGAACTGGCCCTTTGTGGCCTGTGCGCGGCAGCCGTGGAGCGCTCAGGACATCCTTAAGGTGTACTTGCGCCAGTATAGCGACAGGCTGGAGCCTGAGCTAGCGGCCATCTTAAAAGATGGCCTACTGCAAACTCTTAAGTCATCACGGAAGGGTCTGGGAACGCAAGACGAAAACTTAAGGTTCGTCCGAGCAGCGCGAGATCTGCTGCAAGCCACAAAGTCCCCCAAGCCCAACCCCGACGCTGATGCAGTGCAAGGCGAGGGGTTCAATGGCAAGCAGATCCCACCTGTCACATCCGCACAAGCTAACAAGTGCCTGCAGGATGGCATGGCCGAGGTGGACTATATATTGGCAGCGATAACCGACGGTGCCAACAGAGACGGGGCTGAGGAGCCCACTGAGATTGCAAGGGAGTTTGTCACCAAAGACGACGAGAGTGAAATTGTCCACAACGGCAAAAAAGAGCAGAATGGTGGTGAAACTGGATGCCGAGAGGACGCCCATGAAGCCTGCGAGAGCCCAATTGTACACAACGGAGAGCAGAATGAGGAACAGAACGACGGTGAAACCGGAAGACGGGGCAGGCGCAGGGGCAGGCGTAGGGGAAGGCGTAGGGGCAAGGGAGGGTCCAAGGGACAGATCCCTTCACCCTAATTCTCAGGCCAGCGCACCTGAACTGTGCACCCAGAAATGTGAATGGACCATTCTGCTTCTGTCCGAAGCTGTGTGCTCCACACAATCTACAGTGCAGTGCACCCCACGCAGCTGGATTGCCATCACCATACCTCCATCTGAAAGGTAATGATGTGAACTGCAAATCGTGTCTGCTACATGAGTCGGTGCTAGGAGTCATCTGACGAAGAATCTTCACTCGACACCTCTTCATCGACGACTTCGAGGTCTGGGTTGAGGATGAAGTCGAATCCTATCCCTCCACCATCATCCTGGCTCGCAGCCTTGCCTCCCTCTGAGGAGGACGTGGCCTCTGCTGAGCTCGAGGTCTGATCGTAACTGCCCTCGGGGGACGCCTGACCTGGTAGAGGGTCGCCAGGCTTCCAGCCAGGCGGGGGCTCAAACGATGGCAGTGGGTCTGCGAAATTGGCGCCGTCCACCTGCTTTGGCAGCTGTGAGCCTCCAGCCCTTCCAGCCTTTTCTGCAGGACGTCAGAAAAGCACCAGCTGCCCACGTCAGTCGCAGCTCCACTGTCAGCAACACCTCCCGCATATACCTATTTCCAGTTCCTCCAAGCAGCAGATGAGTATCCATGCAGCAACAAAACAGCGACTGTGTGGCTTGCCTCAGTTCTGCTTCCTCCTAAACAGCAGACAATACAAGTTTCCCAGGTGCAGCAACTAGCCACAGCTGCAAGTTCCTTACGCTAACGTCCATCTGTTCAACCAGATGCAGCACAGTAAAGTTCACAGGTGCATTAAAGGACATTCTGGATACCCCTCAGGCATTGCCAACACAATATATTAAATCCTTCTGCATATTTGGAATTTCAGCATTACTATATTTGCTGCACAATTTATCTACAGGCCACTATTTGGGGCTTCTGTATCATGGCCACAGCTGGAATGGCAGCTCGTCTGAGTTCGCGTGGCCTCAAAACCATAACATTTTTATTACTGCTCCGGAGGAAGGCCAAACATTACATTACAATGCGGAAAGGTATCAACACAGTACAGTTGTCTTAGTCCTGGTGGCTGTGCTGATCAGCGGGCAAGTAACATGGATTCATGGCTCACCGAGAGACAGGCACCATATCGTGCCTGCAAATACACCACAAGTACACACAGAGTACAATCAGAGTATACACTCTGATTTGCTGCTCCAGTCAACATTTGTAGCCAGCAGTTGGTTCTTTTGTTTGTGTTCACACGTTGGCACAACTGTCCATTTGCCAAACAGCTAAGCTGGGGATCGAACGGAATGCATGAATTTCCAAATGCTGGGCCACACCTGCAAAGGAATATAATGCGGAGTTCCTGAATTGCTGCTCTTGGGGTGCTGGAGGACGGAATAGGTGCAAAGGATCGCCGCTTTGAAAGCCTGCAGACAGCAAAAAGGATGCGCATCAAAATGAAGGATACTGCAGTGCTGGCAAGCAGGAAGTGTCAGAAAGATGCAAGGCAGCTGTAGAGAAAGGCTGGACCAGGGAAATGGTCTAAGAAACATTGTGAAAGCATACATGATAGTCAGTATCCAGAAATGCCAGATTTCAATCGCTTTATAGACTGGCATATATTGTCAAATTCATTTGCAGCACAGCGAGGAACCAATGCACCAATTCTTTAGTTGCCACCAGGTCATTTCTGTGCCTATTGGCTTGAAAGGATTACACAAATGACTTAGTGAGCTGAAAGTTGCAAACAGAAGAACTTGTTGAGCTTCTGCACCACTGTGTTGTCTGGGATGGAGTGAAAGCAATGCCCTGTTGAGTTTGTGACAACAGACGCCAGTGAGCAAACCTTTGATGATATGCAACACCTCAGCCCCACACATATCAATCAACAACAAGGGCAAATGAACTGAGGCCATGTTTGGAGGTAACATTGAACACTTCATCAACAAGCTGTCCTGTCCACGGTATGTTAAGTATTGGCCCAGGCAGCTGATTTGGTCACGGGAATTGCACAACCATAAACCGATGCAGTGTGCTCTACCTTACACTTATCAGCGTGGCACAGTGCTGGACCAGCAGACCTTCAGTCAGACAGCTACCATTCAGCATAACACTGTTGAGGGCAAAGCAGGCAAAGGTACATGGAAACCAACAATTGCCCAAGCAGCTAGCACAATCCCAAATCGCAAAGGATAGTAGCAATTGCAGGCTAAAACCATATGGCTAGCTGCAACAGGAATGGTCTGTCAACACCATGGATGGTGCAAGCACAGTCCTCTGTCAGTTGTTGACAGATGCAAACAAAGGGCTGACACCCTGTTTCCTTGGTGCCCAACCTGGAGGTGCAAAAGTTGTGTAGCACAGCTTGTGGGCGAATGTGATGATCTCCTTGACATTTTCAGGGCTCGGGGTGAGACCCCCAAGCCAGTTCTCCTCCGGTAATTTCTCCCATGTCCGCCACAGGTCATCCAAAGAAGCCTGTACGCAACAAAGCAATCATTGATGTAATCCAAGGAACAGCAGGGCTGCTTTGGGCTGATAAGCAATAACATGCACATTCGCTGTGTCCCCACATTGGGTTGGTGCAAAGGCGAGCCACGAGCACACAAGGCCCCGCACCAATTCCAAAGTTCACCAATCGACATACCAAACCAGAAGCGCTGGTGAAGACACGATGAGCACATCGCGCCCAGTGCAGTGAGCAGAAATCAGATCTGGTGCACAAGGCAAAGAGCCCTTCTCCATTGAGATGTCTCAGATACTAAATGAAAGAGAAGCAGGTACATGGGACAGCACAGATGCACTGCTCCCCTGGCATTGGTTGTGGATGTTTCAGTGTGTTCATAGGTTTTCAAAAGCACGGTGTGCATCCTTCTCCAAATCAGAAGGAATTTGAGCATCTCTATCCTGCACCAACCGATTTGTCACCAGGCCCTACCAATGTACCACTCGTAAAGCAAAGGTCTGTGCTTCACCGCTTATTCTCAGGCAGCAAGGCACGACCTGTAAGTCATTGAAACCTCCACTAACATCAAAGACACTACAACGTCAGGCGATTCTCAGGCTTATCTTTTTCACACCAACCTTCACACCGGACTTCAAGTGCTGTATGGTGCTGTCAATGTTGTCAACCATGTGCTGCAGCTCTGCAGATGCTGTGGCCAAATCAGATTTTCCATCTGTTTGAAAACACACATCACAACCTTGAAGCTCACCATAACAGTGCGCTGAGAACTGTGATGTTCAGTGCTAGACTGGCAACGCACAATAGCACAATAAGCTGTGTATTGCAATCCACTGCGCAGGAGTATAGACACGCAGCACAACAATGAGAAAAAACAACGAAGCTCAATATGCAAACGCCTTTCTAGCTTATGGATGCAAGATATGGTTGTACCCCAAGAACGGGGATGGAAACAAAGTGGAGTTCTATTGTCCACGAATTTGGACGATCGTCATCATTTATTTCCCAGGTTGTTTTGGGCTATTTATGAATTTACTGGGAACAGAAAGTGACAACACCCCCACCATCGTCTTCGAGGTGCCAGAGATGTGCCTTGTCATGGGATGGAAAGAGCAATCTACTCGGTTCCAACTGTGGTGTCCAGCTGCCCTTATTCTGTCCAATCCCATGCTTGTAGCAATCTTGTCACGATCTGACCAAATTTGGGGTCCATTCTCAGTTGGATATCAACAACCACTGTAGTCCAACAGGGTTCCAGGGCTGTTGAGGATCAAAATGTTGCAAGTAAGACATGCCCATTTGTTGTGTCAATGAGAACTGCAAAGGTGAATTTGGCACATTTCTGGACCGTATGCCCTGCCCATAGGAGCCTACACAAGGAACACGGCAGGGAAGGTTACCAATATGGAACATTATGGTCTTCCAGATGTGGCGTTGTGCAGTGTCAGGCACGTACATGTTCATCATAGCTTAGGCATATGGATTGTCCAGTCGAACGATGAGACCCTTTGCTGCATCCACGTTGCAATGGCTGTGAAAGGGCAGTGCTTCTGCCAGGAGGTGACGAATATGGAAACCAAGAAGACCTTAATCCAAACTGAACATGGGCATCAAGTGGACATCCAGTTCCCGCCAGAGATCGCTCCTGGTCTGCCACTGAAACTCCATAAATTCAGGCTCTGATCATTGATCCAAATCGTCCTTCCTGCCTCTTTGTCGGATTTCAGGAATTTTGAGTCTCTGAGTGAACAGATCTGACCAAAACAATGTCAAGCACAGGTCGTGGTGGAATTAGGTCTATCAGCACATGGTCAACTCTGAACGCATGCCCTCACAGCTCTGACATAAGCTTTTTGACTAATTACCTTGGCACCAATTGGACCACACCCCAAATCAACTGTGGAAATTGTTGTTGTTGAACAACACTCTGATCAAAGAGACTGCAACGTTCATGGCTTGTTGGTGATATGAGAGGCTGCGGGGCACTGTACTGTGCCCACAGTTGATCGCGGGTGTGGTCCAAATGGCGCAAATTCAATTTGCCAAAAACAAATGTCACAAAGGTGCTTTACTGGTGCTTTCAGCACTTTGGCCTTGGGCTTCAGGATACCCTAATCACCACTGCGACTACAACTCCACAATAAAATGAGCTGAAGCTCTCATCAAAATTGGGCCACGCCCTGAACTGGACGCCCTTCCCACCTGCCTTCAGCCTCTTCCTGACCCCCGCCCTGGCATCGAGGATCCGCTTCAGCGCCCTGGACGACCGAAACTTGAGGTCCCCGCCCGACTCGCTGCACAAGGCGTCTCCCCGCGGTACCGCCGCGCGGTCGTCCATCCGCACGGCAGCCCGGAACTCGCCCGATGCCTCCCTCAGGGCCGCCAACGGGCCCTCCAAGTTGTCGGCGGGCTGTTGCGCATCGACCATCTGCTCTTCGGACAACAGCAGCGCGGGCGGGCCGCCGGGCGAACCGGCGTCCATCTCTGCCGGCGCAGAAAGGGCGCCAGCCGTGCCTGTCGTGTTGTTTGTGCGCAGCGCTTGGGTTTGGGGAAGCGGCAAAGCGGCAATGTAGGGTGGAGAATCAGAGTGTTGGTACGGTGTACAGTAGGAGTCCCTATATTGCGCGCCCCCCGTGACATGGCCAAAAGGGGGGCGCTATTCGGGGCCGGGGGCGCTATTGTGTCAAGGGGATACCCTGAGCAACCGGTGTAAAGGGTACCCTGGCCGCCTGGGTAGGGAGTACCCTAAACTGCCAGTGTAGGGGGTATCATGGCCGCCATTGTAGGGGGTATCATAGCCGCCCTTGTAGGGGTACCCTGGCTGCTGGTATAGGGTGTACCCTGGCCGCCGGTAGGGGGTACCCTAACTGCCTGTGTACGGGGTGCCTTGACCGCCAATGCGGGGGTTACGCTACCCCCAGTCTACTAGGTCCATACCGGCTTTTGGGGCCGGCGACTGTCGCGGCGCCGAAGTCGCGGGCGCTGGGGCCTGTCGCAGTGAAACAAAGCACTACGGGAATGGCGACGAGCCACAAAGGGAATCGCTAAACTTAGACAGGCCGTTAAATAGGGGTTGTTAAAACGGACCACTGTACTAGCTTGAGTTCCCACTGTGCAACAAAGCCGCACAAAATACTACATAAATGGCGACATGCCAAAAAAGGGGGCGCTATTGGGGGCCGGGGGGCGCTATATAGGGACCCCCACTGTACTGGGTTGTGTCTTGCAGTACTTTGGGGTGGGTTGTTAGGTGCAGCGTTGGCGGGTTGGCGGCGAGTTCGGGCGTTTTTGGGCAGTGCGTTGCTGGTGACGTCATGTCGCACTCACTTTGCAGTGAGCGATCCCACAGGTGCATGGGACAATGCGAACATTGGCTGACAGACGTATTCGCGAGGTCGTTGTGTATGTACAGGGATTTATGTCGCCGACCGTTAGTTTTTAAACCCTTCTACATAGCAATGTAAAACTTGACCTTTTTTTGCGGAGAAGCAGTAAGATAAATAATCCCTCTTAATATGATTTTGTGCAGAACCACGGCAAAAAAAAATTACACTACGATAAAACAAATGGGGGGCAACAAGCATAACGGTAAAGTTTTCCGATGCGGAAGGGTTAAAACCCCAGCGGTGCGGTGTGTTTCTGTCGTCCATTGCAACCTGTTGCAGCTTGCCACGCTTCCCTGCAAACCTGAGAGGGTTGCGCAACAATCGATAAAAATCACCCTTCCCTTGCCTCTCGTTGTGTCGTAGTTCCTCCGGCTCCCAACTCTTACAAAAGCCTCGCCCTCCCACTGCCACATAGCGACACCTGCCACGGGTCATGGACGTCGTTGAAACGTGGAAGTCCCACGCAGGGGCACGCTCCCATTGGTGGGCTTCCCCACGATTTCGTGTCAGTCAAACTTGGAATGCACGTTCAGTCGAGCTCACACGTTCATTCTCACGTTCCCAAAGGCGGCGCCGGGCAGCGCAGGATGAAAATTTCTTTAACTTTGCGAGTGGTTGCCCCGGAGAACATGTCAGTCCCTCCGTCTTTTCCGTGAGGATCCCTTCTTCTTCCGCTGACAAGGCCAACGCCCGTCAATGGGTCAGTTGTGTAGGGGCCAGGGTGTTGAAAACAAGAAGGGATCTTCACGGAAAAGACAGAGCGACTAATTTCATGCCCGTGCCCCCCTTTCTTTAGGCCGTTTCTCTACACGGAAGGCGCTCGCCCCGTCTAACGGGCCCACGTGGCCCCCCTTCCCCCCAGCCACACTTTCCCAACCAATTCCCACACCTGCCAGTTTCTGTCCCATGGGTCCCCCGTGGGTCGGGTGTTGAACATCCCCCAGGTACTTTGCAATCCCGCCCCGCATCCGCCGGGCCTGGATTTGCTCCCGACAAGAATCCTTGGTCCCACGTCGGCCCTCCACGTCAGCGGGCAGGTGGGCCGTGTGCACAACACCCCTGGCCCCTCGCGTCACGACCGCCCTTCCTGAGCCCCGCAGCCAGCACCGCGCCACAGACTCGAGGCCGCAGGGCGGCGCGCCCCATCGCAGCCGCGCGCTGCCCCGAGATCTCTGGCCGAGATCCGCGGGCGATCCGCTCGCCGGCCGGCCGGCGAGGCGGCGGTTTGGCGGAAAAGGTGGGCCCAGGTCGAGGGTGGGAGATCCCGTGCGGGTGAAAGCGTCCAGCTGCTAGAAAACTGGGGGTATTGTGGGGATGAATTGGGGGTTTGGGGTGGCTGTGGTGGGAATTGGGTGGAGGGGAGCGTGGGTAGGGGGTGGGGGGGGTAGGATGGTGGGCCGTGACGTTTCTGTGCCGAGCAAGGCACGCGGAGTCGTCGCCGGAGGGGGGGTTGGCGGCAGCCGTTGCCGTGCGCGCGACGATTCGGGCTGAGGCATCGGCGTTGTGGTGGGGCGGGGACGGGGGGCATGTCCGGCGGTAGAAATCGGCGGTTGATTGGCGCGATGTGTGCGTTTTGGCGCCTGGCGTTGCTCGGAGCCCTTTTGGCCGCGTAGGGGCCATCTTGTCCTCGTGCGGCAAAAAGTGTTTTCCCTGGCCGAAACTGGGGAGAGCGACGCTGTGTGACGCCCTCCCGCTGAGCGGGGCACGAAACGCGGTAACGCAGCGCGTCGGCGTCGCCAGGCGCGTGTGGCGGGCCGATGCTTGCCTTTTGTCTCATGAATCGCTGTCGCGCAAGCGTGGGGCAGCCTCACGAAGCAGGCAGCTCAGTTGCGAGTGCCCTCGTCTCCGTTCTGCATCGCATCATGGCGAGCGCTGAGGTCAAGAGCGCATCAGAAGCGGCCAAACATCGACCATAGCACGCCAATCCGTGGTGCCTTGCGCGCTCCTGGTGGTAGTTTTTCAAGCGTAACTTTGGCTACAACCAGCATTGTTGCGCAACAAATCACCTGCGGCAGTACTTTCCCTCTGGGAGTTTCGGATCTAAACGGATTTATCGCCAAGTGGATCGCTCTGTGTGGCTCCAGGGCGGGGCGCGATTTATTCGCGTAGGTGCCGGGGGAAGGTTCCGGAAGCGCCGGCTCTCGCAAAGCAGACAAAAAGACGCGGGGCTCGGGTCGCGATCCCCTGTCAGCTGCCCAGGCAGCGACGGTCTGGAAATTGTTCGACGAGCAATTGCCAGAGACCAGACCGCCGCGTACAGAAGAATGGGAAGAACCCACTTGGGTGGCGATGGTTCCTCAAAGGTGCGGCCCCGTGGATCTGAGTTAACTTTATGTGGGCTGGGCTTTAGGGCCTGCGGCCGTCAGGAGTTCGCCACAAGATGTTTAGGACCTGTTGAATGGCAGGATTGTATGTGTCATGTGAGTCATGAGACTAATTGTGGGAAATCATGAACAATTCCTCTCTTGTGAGTTACTCTTCAAGTTGAAGATTGCGGGAGCTGGGATCTGGCGGTGCCATGAGGGAACTGGAAGGCAGGTTTCTGCTGCTGCAGATAAAGGTTGTGCATTGGCAAGGTTATCCATGTCCATTATGTACAATTTTCACAGCATACAACCAGCCAGCGATTTGTGCCTTTAGCTGATGGTGACTTGTGCTGCTCAGCAGACTTTTCCCATACTGTCCACAGCACCCCTGCATGTTCAGCAGAGCAAGTTCCGCCATAAGGCATTTTGTGCTCACAGAGGCACGTATGCTTTTGTCATATCACGCATTGTAGGAATTCATCTGCTGCTCGTCCCTTGGGAGCTGACCACCACAGTCCTGACATTGCAGAAAATGAGGAGGCTTTGGCGGGGTGCGGCAAAACACACTGGTGTTTCATTGTTTGCCAGTCGCCGTTCATGTGACTGTTTATGCACAGCTGCCTGCCACCAACAGCCATTTGACACAACTGCAAGTGGACCTGCCCTGCTCTGTGGGTGGGCTGTTGGATCGATCAGTTGCTGTTGTGCTTGGCAGGGTGGCAGAACTTTATGTGATTGCAACAGGTACAGAGGGGCCCTGCTTGGTGGAACTGCCATTGAAGATACACTGTCGCAACCTTTAAGCCAGCCACCAAGTTAGCCACAGTTTGGAGTCCTGGTGGGATGGCTAGGCCACAATCAGTGGCGGCTTGGACTCTGTTCTGCAGACCCTTGACATATTTGTGCGCATGCTGCAGCTTCGTGTTTTCATCATCTGTGCCGCACGACTCGAATCCAATCATGCCAACGCCCAACAACCACAGTGCAGTGATGGAGGTGCCTCATGTGAGGCAAACTCAAAGCTGGTGAGTGCTTCCTGTCCACAGCAAGCCCCAACGATAACGGCACACATTGATATGTTGTTTCAAGGGAAGTGCCGTTCGTTGCTCTTTGCACCCTCATCAAAATGGCAGGCTGTTGGCTTGTCATCTACAAGGTGACATGCTATGTTTAACATCAACAGTCCAGTTTCATGCAATGTGTACTCCTGAAATTGCTTTGAGGAGAGATTGTTGCATGCTTTGATGCTGAAGGCATAATTTATGAGCGTGCTGGACGGACTGCAGTCTGGCAGCCTGGCACCACGTGCATAACACAGATTTTCCAACCACACAGAAGGCAGCTGCATCTGCATCTGCATCCCTTGTGCCTGTTAACCCCTAACATGCAAACCTGCAGCATCAGACTAGCACCAAGCATGAGCAGGCCTTTACAGCACGGAAGCAACCTGGCAGTGTCCTGTTCTGCTAATTTGTGTTTGTCTGGTGCTCAAATGTGACAAGGTATCTGAAGGATTGCTTTGGATGTGTTCCAGGGACTGTGGTTTGGCGTGCGTGGTGATGGTGCTTGAAGCAATGGGCATAAAGGGGGTGGACTTAGATACGATCAAGCAGCTGTGTCCAACACAAAGGTAGGATGATTCCCTCGCTACCCAGTTGCAAAAGTTGCCATCACTCTCAACGTCACCTTGCACACGTTGTACCATGCTCAAGATGTCGCACATTACCTCTCTTCGTTTTTTCACGGTGCCCTTCTTCCAGCCAGGGTGCAGCACTTTTGACTGCTGCTTGGGGGCACTGAAAAGACAGTTCCCGAAGGGATGCCTCCTTAGAGGATGGTACCCTGAAGGACCGTTCCTTTTGGAACCCCCTGCACCAGAGGTGCCTGTGGCCCTCCACACCACACAGGTGAGAGATCTCCCCCCACCCACCATTCCGGGCCCTGTACATTGCTGCAGTCCCCGGTCGCTCCCCGACTAACTATGCACTCCGATCACTGCCCTGTACCTTGCAGCACGTGGACTGTGGACCTGGCCTACCTGCTCCACCGCTTTGGCCTGAACGTCCTTTTCCTGACGGTCACCATCGGCGCCAACCCCGACTTTGCCTCCGAGTCCTTCTACCTGGACAACATGGAGGAGGACGAGCACAGGGTGAACCGGCTGTTTCGAGAGGCCGCCTCCAAAGGGATAACCATCTGCTCCTGCTCCATGTCGGCCACCCAGCTGCAGCAGGCCATCCTGTCTGCTCGGTGCTTGGCCATCGCCCTGGTTGACAAGAGGAAACTGAGCACTTGGTTCAATGCCACGCAGCTGTTGGGGCCCCAGCTGTGCTCTGTGGCGAGCGGCTACACCGGGCACTACGTGGTGATCTGCGGCTACGACGCCCAGCGGCAGGCCTTTCTGATACAGGACCCTGCGCGGTCCATGCCATCAGGCATGTGGGTGGCCGCAGACGTGCTCGAATCGGCAAGGAAGTCGTTCGGCACGGATGAGGACTTGCTGGTGATTTCCACACAGCCTTTGAAAACAAATGACCTCCTTGTGTGACCAATGCCGAGGCCGCAGATGAGTAAGTGTGGGTAGGATGGAATGGGGGCTAGGGAATTGGTCAGAAAATCTGAAGGGGCGGCTAAGCGCCACGATGGTGCCCTCCTGCAGATGTTTGCTGGGAGTGACTGCTGGGGAGGAAGACCTGCTTTTTGTATGTGCCTGCATTGAACACATTGTTGCAGATCAGTAGTGTGTTAGCTTGCATCCTCTCTGGCAATTGTAGGACTTCGAGTGTAGGGTCTTGCAGGTTTGGTGGTGGTGCAAGCTACCAGTGGCCAGGTTTTGAAATTGATAGGATTGGGAGTTCATTTTATGCGGCAAGGGCTCAGCAATGCTCTTGGCTGGATTTAGAACTTGTGTCGACTGCCCCATTACATCGGGGCACTTTTTACATGCTGCATTTGCTGAGTGTGGGACAAGAATAGGTGGGTGGGAGGGTAGGTGGGGTAGGGTGGGGTGGGGTGGGGTGGTGGGGGTGGGGGGGAGGACGGGCAGGCTGGTGCGAGGTATCCTGTCGGCATTGTTGTCATTTTCCTTGGAGTGGTGCTGGTTCCATTGCTTAAGAGGCTGAAAAGAAAGCAAAAAGGCGTCGGGGGCAGGTTTAGTGATGGGTGGATGCTATGCTGGCAGGGTGGGATGGTGGATGTAGAGAGTTATCATTTATGACCAGCGGCAAAAGGAGAAAAATCCCAAAAAAGAAAGTGGTGCAGTATTTGGTATGGCTTTGTTTGCTCAGCTCTTCTTTGCTTCGACCCCGCTTTTCATGTAGTGGCTGCTTCGTGTAATATCGCTTGCAAGCGTAACCCTCCATGTGGGAACTGTACCTTGTCTGCTTGCCAGTAGGTGCGACCCAATTGCGGCGGAAAGCCCATTTTCCTTGATGAACAAAGAAGCATCATTCTGATCATTCCACAGTCGCTACTCAGTTGCGGCTACTTCATCTGCTTCGAGCCATCCTTGCAATGGCTACGTCCTCCTACTTGCCCATGCGGCAAAACCATGCTCACATTTTGCCGCACGCTGTTCGATTACAGTCCAATCTGCTCAAGTAAATGGCCATCACTGTAATCGAGGGAAAACCGTAGAGAAAGGAAAGGCCAATGTGCTCAGCATGAGTTGCCTTGGACCGCATGACATACATTTACATTTGGTGGTTCTGCAGCTGCTCTATACTCAAAGCAATCGTGTGCAAGTTCAGCTTCTCTCCAAGTGCACATGAATCATACATTCGCTGCATATACATCCTCCATATCGCTGTTCTGCCGTGTTGCTCAGCAGAGCCATCACAAATGATTGACATTTAGGCCATTTTAAGGGCAGCATAGGGGGCTGCGACTGGGTTGTGAACTGGTCAAGGAAAAGGGCCAAAACTAGCCGGCTGGAACCGCAGGTTGACGGGATGCAATACAGTTTTTCAATGATGGATTTGGGGTGTACAGAATTGGGTTTAGTATACGATTGTGATAGATGTTCCAGTACTATTAACTGGGGACAGAGGCATAGTGTGTGCAGGGCGTGTGGTGAGGGTTCCTGAATGAGAGGCTGGCCTGTTTGTAAGGAGCCTTTGGATGACTTTCGCAGAAGAAAATGCCAAATTCTGGCCCATTTTGAGGGGACCATGGACCATAGAGGTTGTCCTTCAATGGACCTGAACTTTTGCAAAAGGTCCTAGGACCTTGACAGGACACGTACTGGCAGGGTATAGGGGTCCAGTGAGGCGTGATGGGACGTTATGTGCGGCTGCTAACAGTACTTTGTGGTTTTGCACCCGCATGGGAAACCGCCCTTTTGACATTTTGTGTAATGTACTGTGTGTCGGATGTGACCACACGCCTTGGAATCTGGTCCCCGAGGGTTGCCGCGGCACGCCCACTGTTCCCGGTCTGCTCGGCACGCCGCAACACCCCAGCCTCCCCGACCGTGCAGGGACCGTCAGAAGCCCTCCCTCGCCATGGCCAACGCATCCCCACGTTCCGCAGGCGGGTCGAACGCGGTCGCATTCGGTGCAGATGGCCCCTCCGGTTCCGCCATGCTCCATGGCGGAGCGATGCTTTCTCTCCCTCCGGGGATTTTTGTTGACCCGTGCACGCAGGGACGACGGGGCCCAGGGGAGCCTTTGGTCAGCCCGGACGAAGCAAGCAAAGTCGTCCTTGAGTGCCGCAACGGGCTAGGCAGAGCGGAGGCATGGGCCTTGGTCGCTGGCCCTGGAACTCCCCATCTTTGGTTCAAGTGCACCTTCGATGCAACGACTCACTGGCGAGTGGGGCATCTGGGCGGCAACTTGTTTGCCGTCAATGCCTATTGGGTTGCGTCCATCCCCAACATTCGCCTGGGGGATCGGCTGCGGCGGAGCGTCCATGCAGCGAACTGGTGCGGCGAGGGAGTTTGAGGACTTTCCGAATGCGACGCGTGGGTCGCTGCTGAACTCGACCACCCGGACAAGCCTCCGGTGCCATTCGCATAGGCCGGAGAGTGCTGTGTGGGCGGCCTTGCCGAGGGGGATGGGGGCCTGCCCATTGGAATGCTGGAGAGGGCGAGTCAGGCATCCTGGCGTATGGTGGCGGCATCGCGTTGGAAGGCTTACGTCACTGCCCGGTGGGAGGTGGCAGTGTACGGGCTTAAAGAATTGATGATGCTACATGGAGTGAGGCTGCGGGAGCGTATGACGTACATGGGTGAGACGGAGGTGGAATGGATAAGACAGCCTGGAGATCATCAGTATTATGGAACTGTAGGATGTGAGGGGTGTACTTGGGATGGAAAATGCATTAGATGTCTTTTTTGTTTGAATCGGGGGAATCCCCCTAATTTGATGTTTCAAGAACCTAAAGCTTTTAGTTTTTCACAGCGGGAGTGTGAGGAGGATGTCCAGTACTACCAAGCATTGGGTGTACTGCCAAGGGATGCTGGAGATTGTTGAATGGTACTGTAGTGCTTGGACCTGGCCTTTTTAGGCTGTATTGTATGGTTCTTTGGAAAAGGTAACCTTGGCACATTCAATGGGAAGTTCTGGGAAATTGGACTGTTGGTACAAGGGGTAGTACCCCTACTAGTGCTACTAGGACCCTTTTCTCGAAGTGTCTATTTGACTATCCGAGGGCCACTGAAGTGTAGTATTGTTGGAGCTTTTAGGGGTATTTAGGTGGCGGTGGTTGGGTTGTGAGTGCCTCTCTCTCCGCCCCCCCATCCGTCCGTTCTTGGTTCTAGCTGTTTGAACAGCTGGTGCTCTGTTGAGAACAATCGTGCAGTGAATGTGTGGGGGTCGAACGCAGTCGAAGGTGAGCGACTTTGTAACGAGCAAGTTCGATTCTGTGTGCCCTTGCCTCTTGACCCTCCAGGTCGTTTGCATTATGGGTTGTGCACCGTTGCACATACCCACAACTCGACGTTGAGCTCGACTCCCATCCCTTTGACTGACTGACCCACGTGCGCTCACGTTGGGCGCTATTTTCGTTGACTCAACGACTCGTCACCATCGTCCGCTGCTTGGCGAGTGAGTGGAGCACAGCGTTGGACCGCAAGGAACGAGCATCGACAACATCGGTTGGCGACATCTGAAGATTGGTCAGTACGCTCACTATAGTGAGCTACTGAGCGAGGTGTGGAGCGTTGTTTCGCAGTCTGAGCGTGGCTTCTTGTGCCTCGTTTGGAGCTGCTCAGCCCTTGCATGTTCCTCGTTGTATGTGAACGGATAAGGTGAAGTTGAATACGAAGTTCGGCACTGGGGTTGCGCCTCGCTTCGGCAGCGCTCGACAACACTCCAAGAGTCCTGTTGGGCTTGAATGTGCATGCTATGGCGATTTTCTTTGTCCTGTGAGCTTCTATGAGCTAAGTTGTTAAAAGTGTAGGAGCGGAACGCTCAGAACTCCTGGGCGATTGACAGGGCTGTGATAGTGGCTGTGCCTTTGGTGACTCTCATTGAGCGCATATGGATGATCGTTGAGTCATATTGCTGTTCCTAAGTGTAGACATCCTCCTGTCGGTGTTTGTCAGCTGTTTGTAACATCATGGCACTCGAACAACGCCATACTGTGATCGCATACTCACCTGTTTCACGCCAATCTCATTGCTGGGACCTGGGCAAGGGGGATTGGGTGAGCGCCCCAGACCCGTGGCCCTTAGCGGATCTGTCCGTTCTGCTGGCGGATAGTCATTGCCCGACATTGTGAGATCGGCACGAATTTGTGCAGCTGTGGCCGTGCGAATGCTGTGAGAGTCCCCGCCTGGAGACCAGCAATTCGAGTTGGGCGCTTCAAGGGCACCGCTCCATGCAATCGTAATGCCAAGATGTGCCATGAGTACTTTCAGGCCAGCTGGACTTCAGGATGCGTCACGGGATGCATCAGGGGATGCATCCCCTGATGACACCAGCGCAATTGCAATATTGTACTTGCCAGTGCCGGCAAATCGTGCCCATGCACTAGCACCAAAGCGACAGAGAATTTTGGCGTCTGCAATACGTAATACACTGCACGATGATCGTCCTGTGCTGCTCATAAACAGCGCCCAAGCTTTTTGAATGTGGAAATGTCACATATGTACTGCTGCACCATTCTCGAAAATGGGACGATGTCCGAAGCATGACTGCAGATTGAAGGCTACAAATGGGCACTGTCAAAACGACAGTAGATGACGATCACTAGTGCATTTGCCGTAGTAGTACTCCGTGCGCTCGACCACCTAACCAGCGCCAACGATTTCGCAGTACTCCCGTGCAGTTGGCGGCGCTCAGGATCTAGAAACAGGCAATAGTACACTTCCCACCATACGCGCAGTTGTAAAAGTGGTGGTAAGTGGACCAGGTGCGGTGTTTCTGAGGAATGACAGCTTCATGGACAAGGTTGACTCATTCAAGGCACCCAGACAAGATTGGGCTGAAGCGTTGCAGTGATAGCTGGAACATTTTGCTGTGTCCAACATGTGTCACGAACAAGGACACTGCACTAAATGGGGAGTTTTTGTGATTTCTGGGGACTTGTTGGTTGTTATTGCACATA